AATTTTAGGACATTTTCTTCATTCCTGTACCCATTAGTATTAGCTCCTCATCACTCCCCAACTCCCCTGCCATAACCCTAAGGAACTATGTTAATTTAGTCACTGTCTCTGTGTGTTACCCAACCTGGATTTCATATAAAGAAATTCATACCCCAAACCCCAACAATGACAACAAAATACAGCACTGAAAATCCTCAATCAAAAAGAAAGCTGCAGATAATAATAATCAGAACCAGTTAAAATGAGCAAAAAGGGGGAAATGATGTTAAATTTTAATCCAGCTATGTCTGCAGTAATCCGCTTTCCAATGCACTCTATATATGGCAAAACTATTCACATTTCTAGTCAACGGAATTTAATGGAGGCTTAACCCAAGTGGGGCCCTGCAGATGGTTGTTAGGCTTTCACTGTCATCCAGAGCCTTCTGCCAACTGGAGAGCACTGCTTCTTAACATCATCTTTGCCTTTATGCTGTTTTGGGCGAGCGACACAAGAAGTAAATAAGTTGTTATTCGTCTTTAAGTATTGTTTCCCAAATCTTGTTTTATATGTTCTGTTTACTCTTACTCTTCAGACATACTTTGGAATGGACGTCTCTGCAGTTGAAGATCCTGTTCAGAGACGAGCCCTGGAAACCATGATAAAAACCTATGGCCAGACTCCACGTCAGTTATTCCATACAGCACATGGCAGTCGACCCGGGTCCAAGCTTAACATTGAAGGAGAGCTTCCTGCTGCAGTGGGGCTGTTAGTGCAGCTTGCTTTCAGAGAAACCCGAGAGCAGGTCAAAGAAATTACCTATCCGGTACGTCACTTGAATTTCAGTAGCATTTATTGAAAACAGATTCAACTCCTGTGGTACCAAGTCCTCACCAAGGGTATAGAGACATAGAATTGAGTCACATGATCCCAGCCTGAGGATGTACACCGACTAATAAGAAAGATGCCTGCAGCCAATGGCAATTTCCTGTGTGCAGTAAAACCCAGTGTTAGTGACGTGAAAAGACACTTTAGGGGGTACAGTGGAAAAAGAATTGTTATATCTGATGGCAGTCTTTCTCAGGAATTAGAGAAAAGCCATTGTGGAAGAAACTCTTATATTATAGGACTATGATAACAGAACTTTTGCAAACAATGAGAGAACCAGCCCAGGAACAGAGAGCAGGGAGAGCACAGGCATGACAGTGTAAGCAAAAGCACAGAACAAAGTATGTTTGGTTCACACTTTGACCTCCCTAAATTATAATAATAAAATGTAATGCCTCTAACAATAGAAAGTAAGTATAATTTTTACCTTAAAATAGAAAAATTAAGCAAACAAGCTTATCAAATAAAATAGATTTGATCTTCAATAATTATTAATTATAAAAGCACATAAGTGAGAAAATATGGATTGCAAAGTGGTATTAAGGGTTTGCAGAAGCAAAAAAAAAAAAACAAGAAAAAGGAAGACAAGGGGAAAGTAGTTTTAAAGGGCCTTAAAGATAAAATAACTTAGAGATCTCAAACTTGAGGAATCTGTGATCCACTTTAAGAGAAGGAGGTGTTTGTTTACAGACCTTATTTTGATAACTTTCTCATATAATAATATGACAACTATGTGTAACAGAACACTAGCTGTAAACCCTTTATGCTCATAACTTACATGTACCAAACTTGTACATCATATTCAAACAAACCCTGTAAAATCAGATATAAAACAGTAAATGGTAGAGAAATTTATTTTTCTCAAACTAAATTATTTCCTAGTAGAAATATATATATATATATATGATTTGTATTTACTTGTCAACTTCATAATTATCATTATCAAGGTTAAGTATTAAGGTAGCAGACAGACATTGGGTCTCTACACA